AAAAAAAAAAAAAAAAGGACATGATTCTGGCAGCGCCCGTAGCTCAGTGGGTAGGGTGCAGGCCACACACCCAGGTTGGTGGTTTCAAACCCAGCCCAGGCCAGCTAAATGACAACTGCAACCAAAAAATAGCCAAGCGTTGTGGCAGGTACCTGCAGTCCCAGCTGCTTGGGAAGCTTAAGAGAATCACTTAAGCCCAAGAATTTGAGAGGCTGATGTGAGCTATGATGCCACAGCACTCTACTGAGGGCGACTGACTGAGTGAGATCGTCTCAATAAAATAAGAGACATGATTCTGAAACATATCTAATTTCACTCTCAGTTAACCCAAAACAAGTCTTCAAAGGTATGAAGGAAAAATTCTCAATTATCTCAGACATCATGCACATACCTGCCCTCATCCGAACCCGGCGGATATATTTTTCACCCAAGAAATTTCTTATTTCAACAAGAGACCCATTCTCCTGGATAACAACGTTGATGGGGAAGTGAGCATACACAGACCTCATCTTGTAACGGAAGCCCTATGTTAAATAAACAAGCTATTAGCATGGCTGAGAAAATTTTTTAACAGTCCTCACATTAACACTTATCGTCAAGATTTTCTGACACCCATACCAAGAAACACGTATGTTTCTCCTTCTCCTTACTAGAATGTAAACCTCCGTAAAGAGGCATTTTCTTCTGTATCTCTTAAACCCACAGTTAGTAATGTTAGCTTCCTTTAAAAAGAATCCTTAAGCCCCTCAGTACAGAATGGGGTGAGAACTGAGGCTATAAAGTCAATGATTTCTTGCCTTCAAGAAACTTAGTCAGGAGCATGGGTAGGAAGGAGATCTTAATAGGTTTACAATATAAGCATGGGGTGCCATTATCAGGTACTCCCTAGTTTAACCGTTTCAACATCAACTTTACCTTGGGTGGGGAAAGGGGATCAGAAGAGAATAGTGGTATCAAATATACATTTAAAGAAATATGCAGAGCGCTCATAAATTAGACCTTTTTCTATCTCTTACCAAGTTCTGATCTAGTGATCAAAGCTACCCTAAGTGCTGCAGCTGTACATTTCCAATTAAAAACATTCTAAAGGTGTGACTCTGGGTGAAAATCACCACCAGCCTACTTGTAAAATCTGCATCCTCCTGGTCTTCATTCACACTTATCATTCAATCCTACATACCCAAGGATGCCTATTAGCCAAGTTCTAGAATTAACGTATTTCCCAAATTACATACACAATCTCTGTAGTAGACACTTGTGTTATATATAACACAGCTGAGAAACCTGTTCCAAAACAAAGTCTGATTAGTCTGCTTACCAGTGTAACACCCTTGATCATATTCTGTACGTGACTACAAATAGTGCGAACAGTAGCCAGTTCCTTTCTATTTCCCCACCATTTGTCAACCCGGAGCTGTAATAGAACAAAAACTCTAGAAGATTCTATCCAAAAATAAGCAAGACTTGAAATACAACAATTCATTTATTCCAAATCCAATTACATATAAGGCCTCCAACAATAACCAAATGTTAATCCTATAGAACATAAAGTTTGTGTGCAGCTTAAATAGTAAACTAAATTGCACACGAACTTTACATCTACTTTGTATAATTTTATAAAGGACTGACAAACCCAAAACATGGATTTTTACACACGGTACAACAAACTTCATGTCTGTAAAGCTAAGTCATCAGGTTAAATTAAGACCCATTGTCCAGTTCCCAAGAGGGGTATGAAGCAATCAGAAGGAAGTTAAAGCCTAACTTGTAACAACTATTAACAGCTGAACATTATAATCGGCTATATTCATATTTTTCAACACCTTTAAAGCAAAACTGGCTACTACTTTAAAGCATTGGATGCTGTTTTAAATCACTACCTTCCAAGTAAGCAACCGAAGTGACCAAAACAAAAAGAACCGGGTAGCGCCTGTGGCTTAAGGAGTAGGGCGCCAGCCCCATATACCAAAGGTGGTGGGTTCAAACCCGGGCCCAGCCAAAAAATTGCCCAAAAAAACCCACAAAAAACTCACCCTCTTCTTTTTCTTTCCAAGGAGACTGAGTTCCACATTGATGTGGTTGAAGTCCCTCCGCAGGGTTCCTCTGGGACCCTTCACAATAACTGTGCGTCCCTTCAGAGTGATGTCGACTAGTAAAAGAGAACGCACTTGTGAGGCCACAAAACAAGGCAGAAGATGCAATAAAAATATTAAGAGAAAGACATCGAACCTCGTACCATTTTCTGGAATGTCGACAGTTTGATTGCTGAGAATGGTCTTCATTCTGAAATACAAACACTTGGGAGTAAGGTCAGGCCTGCTTTCCACCAAACTACCCCGCACAGAGCCCCATTCCCATTGGAAACTGCCCGGCAAAACTTCGGGGGCTGCAGCAGGGCTGATGACAAGCGCGTCCCGGACTGTAAGGAGTAGTCCCAAAGCGACGGTTAGGAGGCCCAGAGGGCAAACTCCCGCTCAGCCCAACCCTGGAAGTCCTACCCGGCGGCGCCATCCCGTAAAGACTGAGGGGCGGGGGTAGGCCAAAAAGCCCCCAACAGGACTAGCATTCGGCGCCACCCAGGCCATATAAAGCTTGCCAAGCTAGGGGACGATCAGGGTACGGACTCTGAGCGTCAGACTAGCACAGCTAGCTTCCCCAGAGCCGATGGCTTCAGATTCCCAAGACCCACCAACCACAGAAACCAGCCTACCTCGCGGAGATGCAGCAAAGAGAGAGCGGCTTTCGTCATCACGTTCTTGTAGCATGTATGAACCCTGCGTATTGCGTCATGAGTGCGCGACCCCACGAAGGCTTAACGAGCCAATCGCGGAACAGCTCAAGTTCCACGCAGGCGGAAATGGCTCAGGTGATTTGTCATAAGCTGAGCGACGGTTTTTGATCTATCTTTTCCCGGGAATTACCGATCCCTTGTATATTTGACCCGACTGGGCATGAAAAGATGTCTCTACGCTGCGGGGACGCCGCCCGCACCCTTGGGCTCTGGGTGAGCCGCGGGGCAAGCAAGGTGTTGGCGTGGGGTGGAGGGCTCCTTCTCTTCAGAGCGCCTAATACCGAAAACCAACGCTTATTGAACATTTATTTCTACCCAAGCACAGTTTTGAACGTTTTTGATGTATCTCATTTAACTCTCCTGACGTCCTCAAGATAGTCTCGAGCACTGGTTTGTGAATGTCTCTCTGCGACAGCTCAGAGGGCTTTCCTTATGCTTGGAATGGTTTATAGTCTATATTTATTAGAACACTGCAGGTAGCACCCCCAAATAACTGCTGTGCATCCGGCTCTTACTGTGTATTCGACAGTGAACGCACATGTGGTGAAAATAAGATGGAATCAGGCAGGCTAGGGCAGACATGACACAGCAGGTCTGGTCCTTTTAGGTCCTGCCTGACCTTCACCTCCTGTCTCCCTTTCTTACTGTTTTGTAAATTTAGTTCCCACCCTAAAGATGCCTATTTTGAGTAGTTTAGGTGGATTGATTTAGGAGATTACCTTTTGAATTGGAATGTTGTAAATAGGTCACTGAGTTATGCTGATTATTATTTGGAATAAAGGCTAGTGTGGTCTTTGCTTTGACCTTTTATGTATAAAATTGTAATGTTGGAAATGGAAAAACAGAACGGTCTTGAAGAGGCTATTCTCATTGTTCTCCAGAATCCCGGCCTTCTGACAAAGTTTGGTGGACCTTTCCCCGTTTCTGCATATTGGCTGACAGTGACAGACGGCAGAACCCTCTTCATCCAGTAACAATGCCACTCTAGCCTCTAAAAACCCAAACCTATCCTCTAGGATTTAGCTATAGACATGAACAAGCACAGTAGTAATAGTGCAGCATCCTAATAGGCACTCTCTTTGAATTGTTGAAGGTTTCTTTGAATTACATGTACTGACTAGTGAATTTTCTAGTGTTTTCATGGTTTCTTATGCTCCACAAATGTGGGTTGAGTGACTGCAGTGTTCAAACATAGAAGCAGTACAACCTAAAATATAAAAACAGGATCATTTGAACCCAGGAGTTTGAGGTCGCTGTGAGGTGGGCTTGACACCATGGCACTCTAGCAACAGAATAAGACTCTTGTCTTAAAAAACAAAACAAGGGCAGCACCTGTGGTTCAGTGGGTGGGGTGTCGGCCCCATATACTGAGGGTGGCAGGTTCAAGGCCAGCCCTGGCCAAACTGCAACAAAAGCAAAAAAATA